TTGTTTTGGAGTAGTTTGCTACAAAAGAAAAAAAAAAAGAAAAAATAGTTTCTACGAATCAAAAAAGATATATGAGCGCACAGAAAAATCAAATTATTTGAGAAAGAAGTTTAGCCAATAGACCTGAGCAATCACTTATGAATTTTTTTCGTTCAGTTAACCCGAATCTTTTCTTTTGACAGCTTTCTTTTCCTTTTCGATTTTTTTCTAGTGTTAACTTTCTGATTTTAAAAACACAATGGGCTAATCTGTAAACTCAATTTTGAAATCTATGAAGTGCGTTTTATAAAATGGGTAAAAGCTGTTTTCCATTCTCTATCAAGTCTCCCTTCTATCAGCCACCTTATCTTCAATCAAAAATGTACATTTCTGCAAAAAAGTAGTGCGTGTTTGAAACTTTTGCATTTATTGATTTATTTTCGAGTTCCGATAGCATTACAACAGAAAAGAAAGCTCTTAGCTCTGTCATGAAAGCTTTTTTTTTATTCAGCTACAATACACTTCCTCGAATAGCACTCAGTCATTTGAAAACTCTTTAGAAATTGTAAATACTAACAATGCTACCACTTCTAAAAAGGGTTCTGATTTTTTGGGGGTTCGATCTGAAAATGAATTGAATGTTGAGGAGATCTTATCAAATTTGAAAATGAGAACCACTGTCGTTACCTTCTAGCTCGAAGAAGCCATTATTACAAATTTTTATGATTGACATCTCACAACTATTTTTGGAATTAAAAAAACTTTTTGATTGAGCTAATTTCAGTTTTTACCTCAAAGCTAACCTATTGTAGTATGTCGTGACCTTATTTATTATAATTTGTGGTCATTTTCTCCTTTTTCGATGCTTGCGGTCTTGATGTGGTAGAAATGAGCCTCTAAAAAAAGGAATTTTTTAGAAGAGATTTTTTTTCAACAGAGCACTCTAGCCAAAAAGCCATTTTGTGCATCCCTGTGTTGGTACTCGAATTTCAGTCAAGCTAAATAACTTTGAATTCCAGTTAAATAAGAGACATAATGGCCGATCCAGAATTAGCATCAAAGCTGGCCAGACGTTTGGAAAACATCAATAGCTTTGATGAAGAAGATGCACAACCACACAAAGAACCGCCACCAGCTCCAGTTCTCCCAGAAAAGGTAAATTTCACTCTAGATCCCTTATGGATATTCTTCCCAATCTTTTCCGATCGATAATTTCAGGTGGTTGCAAATCCGTATGTTGCCTCCGATGATTCGGTGTCAATTGATGACCTCATCGCAAAGACTTTAGAGCGAAATGAACACGAATCACATAGTGAAGAGAATAACAATAACGTGAGAGGCCTCCATTAGTTTTTTTTGAGATTTCTCTTACTTTTTTCCTCCTGGCCATCTCATCCAGGGAGCACACCGAGGCCGTTCCGGTGTGCGGATGTTCGCATTCGCGCGCGCACGCGCCACTGATGTTTTCGTTGCTGTTTTGCGCACTTGCTTTTGTAAACACTATCTACGAACTGTATTGTCGCGAGAAGAGTCAAGAGTCGTCGTTTTCATTCGGGAATAAATGGGGAAAACCGGGAGGATTTGTGGACTCAGTTACTGGAAACTTGAATCAATTTACAATTTAGTTTCTTTAAGGATTTTCTACTTACTACTGACAG